CCTGTGAGGGGGGGGGGAGGGGGGGTGAAAGACAGACAGGTGGACGAGGTAGAGAGAGTGAAATCCCACAGCCCAGACCGACCGCCCTGCTGTACGTCTGAGGAACTGCAGGCTGTCAATAATTCATGAAGATGTTTCTTCTTCTTCTTCTTCTTCTGCTCAACTTTCTTATCTGCTGGAGGTCAAAGGTCAGCCTCACAGCCAGCTGTGGACCACACTCACACACTCACATGTCCAACACACACACACATCCTCCCAGTCCGTCCTTCTGTTGCTCCTCAGACGTTTTCATGATGGAACGTTGGTGGATAAGAGGAGGGAGAAAAGTGGGGGTCACCAGGGGTCAGAGGGGCAAAATCAGGAGGGTAAATATTACAGCTCTGCCCAGGCAGCACCTCTGAGGGGTGAATCAGTAAATCAGTGTGTCGCCCCCTGCTGGGCTGCACCTCATCTCCTCAGTTCTTCAGCTCATCTGTGCTGATGACAGTTAATGCTTTGTCAACCAGTGGTCCTCAAACTCTGGGTCCTGGGCCTGGAACTGGACGTGTGGTTTTTGTTTTGTTTTTTTTCTGAGTCAGGTGTTTGAAGAGTCTCTGTTCCAGATGAGGTTTGTTTCAGTCGGCTGCTCTCAGGTCGAGGTCAAATGACGACTCTTTGTCTTTAGAGCAGGTTGGTTTGAAAGTTGAAAAGTTGTTTAAGTTTAATAAATATTACGTTATTCATATTTACACTTGTATTTCACATATATAAAGGACTCGCTCGACTCTCAGCTCCAGATTAAATGAAACAAAACCACTTTCCTCTGAACATCATTTACCTGAAGTCCAGGAGGAAACTGTGGAAGTGAATTTGTGTGAATGACTCTGTGGCCCCTCGGAGCCTCGTGGCACATATTGAAAATACGAACAAATAATCACACACACACACACACACACACACACACACAGTAATCTAATGATCTCACACTTTCATCATATCATAACTGCCGTTATTTGTCACGTTGGGCCAATTAAATACCAAATCACCTCCTGCCCATAAAAACAAAACAAGGAAAGCAATTAGAAGCCAACTTTGAAGTAATCCCTGTAGCATCTAAATATTATTACTGCAGTGATAAAGACGCTGGATGTGATTAGCCAACAGCACGGCAGCCTCCCAGGGACAATTCTCTGACGTTCTCTAATAATATTCCTGCATTAGCCACAAATGAGCTGAAGAGTAGTTTTCCATGTCAGATTCAACACGGGGTAACTTCAGGGGTAACTTCAGCTCTGTGGGGTTTCGTCTCCCTCAGTAGTTCTAGTTTATTCAACTTTTTGTCTCCCCCCCCCCCAACCCCCCCCCCCCACTCACTGTGGAGCCTAATATGCTTCATGAGCTGTGTAATTCACTGAGCTCCGAGGGGGGAGGGGGGGGGGCGACGACACTACAGCACTTCCCCTCTCCTGGTACCACCGTGTTGGACTGATGTGGGACGGGGTCTGGGGTCGAAGCCCCGGCAACTTCAGGTCATGTGACCACGTAAACACATACGATGTTACAGCAGTGGAAACAAACTGAGACGTACAGTGAGGCCCAGGCTCGCTCTGTCAGAGAGAGAGAGAGAGTCAAACATGTGGCCCCGGCCCCCGGCCCCCGGCCCCGGTCCTCTGGTTCTCTGGTTCTCTGGTTCTCTGTTCCTCTGGTTCTCTGGTCCTCTTGTTCTCTGTTTTTCTGTTTTTCTGTTTTTCTGTTCCTCTGTTCCTCTGCTCGAGTTTCATTTCTCATTTTCTCTCTCTCTGTTACTCTTTCTTTGGCGTTCTGCTGCCATGCATCACTGACACTTCAGCCTGACGGCTGCTGCTCACGGTAACCTGTCCACACACACACACACACACACACACACACTCTAATTTAGGGAGATTTATGAGAGGGGCCTTGCACCAGGAGCCATGCAGGCTGACCCCAAGGGTGGAAGGGGGCACTGGGTAGGGGAGGGGCCCGGCTCCACGGGGGGGGAGGGACATTAATAATCCACAATCAGGTCTGTCTGCGGGCCTGGCCCTGGGCCTCGGACACCGGGCTGCAGCCCGCTGCAGTGGCCCAGTTTCCACGTAGAGAGGAGGAAGGTTCACGGTTCTCTGATGGATTAGAACCCGGTCCCACCAGGACTGGGCCGGGAAACAGGTAGAACCAATGGAAGAAAACAGGGGAACAATAAACAACGAAGAGAAGGAGGCCAACACACACACACACACACACACACACACACACACACACACCCTCATGTCTGTCTAAAGTGTCATGACTTATTCAGAGAGAACATCTCAGTCTGGTGAAATATTCATCTCCACTCAGTCCTCGTCCGTCCTCGTCTCTTCACCTCGTCTGTGGACACGTGTCCCATCAGCCATTTCTACCATGTTAAATATTTCTTAGAACAAATAGACCCTGGAGGAGGGAGACCGGGGGTCGGGGGGGGGGTCAGTGCTGGGGGAGAGTCAGGGTTTGGGCCTCGCTCTGGGATGGAAGTCCCACGGACACAGACATTTATAAATGCATCGATAAAAAAAAAAATCATCGAAAATTCAACCTCGACCTGGAGCAGAAAAGAGTGACAGACGAGGGACGGAGGGACGGAGGGGCAGAGGGGCGGAGGGACAGAGGGACGGAGGGACGGAGGGACAGAGGGACAGAGGGACAGAGGGACAGAGGGACAGACGAGGGACGGAGGGACAGAGGGACAGAGGGACAGAGGGACAGACGAGGGACGGAGGGACGGAGGGGCAGAGGGGCGGAGGGACAGAGGGACGGAGGGACAGAGGGACAGAGGGACAGAGGGACAGACGAGGGACGGAGGGACGGAGGGACAGAGGGATGGAGGGACAGAGGGACAGAGGGACGGAGGGACAGAGGGACAGAGGACAACCTGGGGTACCTGAGGGGGGCCACTCTGCATTATTTTATCTTTACATGTGTGTGTGTGTGTGATGTGTGTGTGTGTGTCAGCCATGGTGACTAAGAGGCTGTCGCAGTGATGGACAGGCTTGGCAGGAGGTGCTGATTGAAACACTTCCTCTGTCGGGTCTGGCCCATTAATCTGACGGAGACAGAGACAAAGAGAACAAGGGAGAGAGAGAGAGAGGGGGAGAGAGGGAGAGAGGGAGGTAGAGAGAGAGGGAGAGAGAGGCTGACGGTTGCTGGAGGCCTTTAACCCGTTGGAGTAATGAAGGGTCCTGGTCCTCCTCACCTCAGTGCCGTCCTGCCACGCTGGGACGCTCTGCTACCATGTACACCCCCCGCCCCCCCCCTCGTGGGACTGACCAGTGAATAATGGCCTTGTCATCAGGCTGGGTAGACGCCACTGCAACGCCGAAGGCAGCGTGTGACCGCGCGTGTGTGTGTGTGTGTGTGTATAAATACGTGTGAGCGCGTGCTTCTGCCCACCTGCACGCCCCCCCACGCGGGCGTTTACCCCGACTGTTTCCTTCTCCTCTGCCTCTGCTGGAGACTGAAGCCTTGGTATTGAATAGTGTTGATTTAAGC